GAACACATCGTCCGTTAGGGTCAGAGAGAAAAGCCATCGCAGAGATACGCCTGTGACGATATCTATACTACTGTTGGTGCGATGTGTGGACATGACATCGACCGTTTGTATGCTCTCAAATCATCGCTGAGCACTCAGGGGGAACAGGGGGCTTTGGGGTTTAGGAAGACTGAGAGTGAAGAGCTTGTTAAAAATTAATAAGCCAGTATTTTGACTTTGTTTCAAAAAAGGAAAAACCAAAAGTGGATATCCAACTTGAAACTAATCTATTTGTACTTTTCACTTTCTTTAAAATAAATACCACTGCACTTAAGTCACTTTGGATAATGTTAAACGTTGCTAACCACGGAGAAACTGGATTGAAGGAATACATGACTTTACTCCGGTACCAAAGGGTGTTCGATTTAACTTCATTAATAAATACACTTTTCTCAGTCTTTTTATATTTGTTTGTATATTCTTAAGATTCAAAAGTGAATATCTCTTTGAAAGGGTGTACTTGTATTTAATGATCACTATACCAGAGGCATTTCTGGTCTTAAAATAACCGAATATCATCGATCTTAATTATGTATGGGATATTCTGTTGCCCAACCGAACAGGTTATCCTGACATGCCTCCACAGAGCGGACCGTACCTCCTTCAGTGGAGGCTCCATGTCCACGTGATCAGAGAGGGAATAAGCAGCGGCCACAAACATGGCGGTCGCCTCAAGTCCCTCTTCGAACTGCAGGTAGATGCCTCCAAGATCATCCAAGCGAGCGGTCAGATCCTGGGAGGAAAACAGGAAATAATAAGTTTCATTTATTCAAAGCAATAAATTAATCTGTGTGCATCATTTAGAGTCCATTGTGTTTGACATTCGCTAAGTCAAAACAAAGGAAGACAACATAAAATGCACAATAATCAATAACTCACCCTAACTTTTCTATTGTTCTGTGTTTTCCCTACTTTTAAATTAATCTTATAGTTCATGTTCAAAAAGGATATTGTTTTAATGGAAAGAAAACATGTTGTTTTTGCTGTTGTTCAAAAGGTTTATGAATGTTTATGTATAGATGTCACAACAGTACAGAGGTGTGTCCATACTGTATGTCATTATGGTCATGCTAATAAAGCTATTTGAATTTAACTGATAAAAAAAAAAAACTCACCTCGATTTCCTCCAGGATTCCTCCGAGCTCTGCGTCCTGGGACAGACGGGCCGCCGTTAGCAGAGCCGAAGTGATTCTGTCCGGAGAGAAGGTACGTTAGTTGTAAATGAAACTTGCCGATAAGCATTGTAAGAATGACACAGAACGGTGATGCCCTCTACTTACGCCATGACGTTGTCCTCCTTGTTGATGCGGCCGGTCAGAGCTCCCACTACTTCCTGTGAGGTCAGAGGAAGGCCCAGAGAGCTGAGGGCGCTCACCGCTCTGTGGATCTGAGTCATGGAGGAGTCCTCGCTGACGGCCGCCAGCAGGATGTCCCGCGTCTCATTGGACACGGGGATCTAAGGAAGGCAGAACCAGAAACGTGTGTTTATCCGACGGGAAATCGGGTTTCATGACTTTGTTTTAGAGTGAAATAAATAGGAGATCAATCCAAAAATAGAGTAAAGATATCTATATAAAGAAAGCGACATGAACATGTAGGATAATATAAAATACAGATAGGTATATAAACTGAAGAAGTAAGAATTAGCTAAATATAAGATACAAATAATACACAATTAAAGTAATAATGTGCAATAAAAATAAAAGTAAATCAAATAAAGATCTGTATACAAACATAAGAAGTCAAAGTAAAATCCACAATGATCTCGTAAACAACTATTCAATTCGGTATTTTCTTATGTAAAGAATTGCTTAAACATCTGAGACTATGATGACACCATTAACAAGAATTTGTGATTTATGACAAGAAGGTTTTTATCATTTGTATGCAACACATTGTCCAGCCCTTCGACACATGCAAATGACATGTAGAGCAGCAGAGAGTTCAGAGGCATGCCTACCTCACATCCGGAAATGGCTTGACTGGTCTCAGAGGCAAAGAAGAGCGAGTCAACACTAGTGGGGTCCAGCTGGGACTTGATGAACTGGCAGACTCCCTGCAAACAAAAACACATCATGAGTCAAAAAACATGGAGGATCACAAGTGGATATTTAATACAGTATCAGAAAAAATGACTAGTTGTTATCGTTGTGTCTTAAAAAGGTCCCCATTAAAGGCGGAGATTCAGGTGATAAGGGGGCGGGGTTACCTTGGTTGCTGATTGGC